TAAATACATTGGCTTATTAAATAGAACTTATATATATTGGCTACATTGGCTTATAGAATAGAATAGAATTGCATAGAAATTATCATTAATTTTAGTTGCACTATGAAAATTGAATTTTGAAATTAAAGTTTTGGCACAATGTGCTTTTAGTCCAGTCTTCGAGCTATCCGGAGCTTCCCATGTACTAATAAGCTTAATATCGACTCTGCGCTCGGGATCTTTCATTGTTTTTCCGTATACAGAATTATTCATTCATTTAAAAAAATCTTTTTCAAATTTATTATTTTGCATTTTGCTTATGTAAAATATTTAGATCAATGTAATTCTTCAACCAAGGCTTTTGTAAAAACTGAACACCTCGATGGATCTTTTTCAATACTAACCCATTCTGTATACATTGTTGCAAATTCCGATAATGTATTACATAATTTTTCTTATTTCCCAGGTCAGCAATCAATTTTTTTACCTTATGCTCTTTTGAGGCCAGACAATTTGACGGACAAAATGGAAGATCATTATGAAGATCATGTAAACGGAATGGATATGTTAAGTCCACTTCCAAAAAATAACCGTATTTGCTATCGATTGGAATATTATTAATATCAAAATTGTCTATGTCTGTGGTAGACATCCACTTAAAATCTTTATATGGTAAAGGTTGTGACATTGCCCAACTATACACGTTATTCGCATCTACATACATTAAAAATGAAGACTCCTTCGAGGAATCATAATCTGACAAATATTTGTTATTTGCTTTTGTATATCTATGACAACATTGAACTAAACCACCTCGAATGCTACTTTGAACAAATCTATACATATCTATATCTGTCAGCAATTCAAGTTGAATATTTGCAGTTTTCAACATTGCCTCCCAAGATAGACCTGGTGTCGTAAAATACTGAGCTGGGTCAGTTGAATAGATTTGGATACAAATTTTTCGGAAGTTTTCAAAAATGTCAGTTAAAAGGAATATATCAGTTTTCAAATATAATTCTAAATAATTTTTAAGAGTAGAACATGAGAAATGCAACCAAACTTTAATAGCGTGGTCATAATCTTCCTGAGAGTATTCCCTTTCCGTTAAATTATTATTATAGAGTGCTTGCCTTGGTGGGAGGGAAGTTTCCTCGAGTCTCTAGCGGAATCTAAATATAATGACTTAACAGTATTTAATTGATCATCAACTAAATTAGAAGCTAGGGTATCTAAACATGATGGCATAAATCCAAATGTATCGAGAAAACGAATTTCAAAACTGTTTCCACTTAAAAATTTCATTTTTTTTGAGACAGAAATATAGTTTTCCTTATTTATTGGTATTACGGAAATTTCACCGGGAATCTTTCCCAATTCTTGAATAAATAAATGTCAGTCGTGTTTCGAAAAATTATGAAAAAATACTGGTATGAATTTGTTAACTTTATAATCCAAGTTACAATTCGAGTGGGCTGCACCTCTGAAACGACCTGTGAAATGACAATGATCTCTAACCCTATCAGTCCCTAAATCTTTCTGACAAATAGAACAATTCAATGAATTATCAAATATTTGCTGGTCATCCAAAGTCATTCTCATAGGAACTATTTTATTTAAGTAGTCATCACTCAATTTAGTTAAATTTTTTATCAATGAATCTACAAAACTTACTCCCGAATTTTTTCCTGTTTCTAAAACAAATTTATCTAGTCTAGAATCAAAAGCACACTTTATATAATACGCATATGATATTGGAATATGTTCATTAATTTAAATAATTTAAGGCTCACTTCAAGATTTTTCGGTTCCAGAATGCATTTAAAATCCGCGTAGACAACGAATGGAACTTGAAGCTGATGTTGAACTTGGGTAAATTCCAGTGTATTATTCTGGGGGTGCGGCATCTTTGAAACCTTCCTACTGCAGAGCGTCTTGTGTTTCAATGCGGCCTCCTGGGTTCCGGAAAAATTCAAGCACACATAGCAGAAAAATGGCACCCTCTTCTGATTTCCTCTTTGAGCAGTCATTAGTCTTTGAAACAGAAATATATACAAATTGTTAATTTGCTTAAAAGAGATAAAAATGAATAAAGGAATTTACCTTGAAATATTTTTAATGTACATGTAATGTCACCGTCTTCGAAAAACATCAAATTGATATGAAGAGATTTTCCACTTCCGATTGAAAAAGTGGTGCAATTATTTCCCTCGTTTCTTCATTATATCCGAAAACTTTTAAACTCATAGGAGTATTCTGGTTTAAAAATTTTTTTATACATTTTATTTCAAGGGGGAAAGTCAACCCTGTGAAATCTACTTTTTTTTCATCACTTATACGAGTTATCTCCAGCGATATATCAATATTATATGCCGAACATCTTTGCGGCCTGTTAACAATCTTTAAGGCAGAAATCAACGCCCATTCAAAACAATTTTGATAATTTTCGTTACTAAAATTAACTATTGCTTTTTTTGTCAAAAGGAAACGAAGTAGTGGTATGAAAGACGAACCAGCCATCGGTGTATAATGATTTACATTCATTTCCAAGCGAATCAATTTTATAAGAGACCATCCACTGTCTTTCTCTTGAAATTCTTGGGTTTTGGAAATTATTTCCATGGTGTGTTCGTGAAAGATTCATTTTAAATCAGAATCTTTATTCATGATCATAATTTTACTTTGAAAAGTTTTCAATTCAATTTCTTCAGATTCATCTTTAAAAAGTATATATTCTGCAAACAGTTCAAAGTTTACTTTAGCTGAAGTACAACTTCCTAATAGAATGCTGAGATGAGGTAGCAGTGACAATCCAGCTTCACTCAAGAAACTCTCAGGTAAGATCAGGTCTGATCCATCGTTTACATGTATTCTTCCCTTGAATCCCTCAGAAATTTTTTTTACTCTTTCGTCCAGGGGTTGAACTGTATTTCGTTTATGCAGCTTCGAACATGGTTTGCCCACTTATTCTTTTACAAGAAACACTTGCAGGATTGACAAAACTGATTCTGGTTTTTCATTTTATTTTATTTTTTTTATTTAAGTTCCTTTTTTCACGATCACTTTTTCACTTTAACTTAAGTTGTGTTTGACGTAGCAGAGTATCCCACTTCAAAACTATTTTTGGTAGACTAACTATAGTCCTCCAATAGGGGACAGTTTGGTAAAAATCATTCCGACTTTGTTGAATTTCGAGAATGCACATCTTGAGGTAAAAGAAGAAGATGAAAACTTATATACAATTTCTTTATAAAATGTGTAAGCATATTTAAAAGTGTAAGACGAGATTGTGGACTTAGATAGGCCTCATGTATTCAGTTAAAATAAGTAATTTTCTAAACGTATTTGACATAATTCTGTTCAATGCACACTATGTACGGCTCCAGTTCATACAATGAAAACTCTTTGAACGTGATGGAGTTAATATGAAAACATCTATTCTTGGAAATCATATTGACACCTGCGTGTGGAGCAATGATGCAGCCACCGAGGGAGTTTATACTTGTGTATGCCATCAAATTTCGGATTACAAAAAGGAAGCACTCAATACTATGAATATATACTATAATCTAGAAAAAAGAATCAAAAAGATTAAATAATATAAAATTAAAATTACAGGTACGGAGAATGAAAAATATTTCCTTGACTGAGATATGTTGGCTACTTGCGAGTTGTTGCGCGGTCGTGATTTCAACCCCTATTATGGGACATAATAGAGATAGCAGTCAGCGGTGAGGTCGTTGGCGTGAGGCCCATGATCCTCTCAATGAGCGTGCGCCTTCAGGCTTGTGCATGTGTCCCTTGTATTGCATTTATTGGAGAGAAAGGGGTGGAGACAAAAAGGACAATTTGCTAAAACTGTTAACTATTCAACAGAATAAGTTTGCCGCTCTGTTCTCTCTTAGCGCCGGCAGCGCTCTTAGCTTTGCATCACAAGTCGGCCAGCCACTATTTACACACACATGCAAACAATGGCTCTGAAGTCATAGATGTTCTTTTTGGGTGGTTTGAGGGCGTTAGAGTGGGCGTTGAAAACTTTTTTCAACTCAATCGATAGGTATTGGCGAGACCAATACGTTTCAGTTAAATTTGTTTTTAAACTGTAGGTTCCACCGTTTTGGGCGGTTTGTGAGCGTGGTACATTGCCAAAATAAACTTGCGCTGCAATGATCTTCAGAATCTGCATGCCTAATCCCAACTGTCTAGCCCTTGTAGTTTCCGAGATCACAGCGTTCATACGGACAGACAGACAGAGAAATAGGGTAGATCGACTCAGCTAGTGTTGCTGATCAAGAATATACATACTTTATGGGCTCGGAAACGCTTACTTCTACGTGTTACCTGACGTGTTTCCGACGATATACCCCTTTGCTTTAAGAGTAACGGGTATAAAAATAACAAGAAAGGTAGCTAACTTCGGTTAGCAAAACTTCTTACTGAAATTGTTATACCCTCTGCAAGAGTATAAAAAGAAAAACACTAATTATTCGGGTGCCAGAATAATTGAAAAAACGTTTGAAACAAAGAAAACTGTTTTCTGTTTAGCAAAGACAGATAAAACTGAGAACAGAAATAAACGTATTTCGTTCTGAAAATATTTCCAATTTGACGGGAAATTTATGTTGTTTGTCGAACCAATTGAAAGTTTCGGCTGTTATTTGCGAGCTGTGGAACTTTTCATCTGAACTTATCTGAACTTTCCAAAAGTATCCTACAACAAATGCATGTATAAATTACGCAACCCCTTATATACAACCCCTAAGTCGTCTTTCTTTGGTTAACAAATATTGCGAATTTGTAAACGTGGTCAATGTCTTGGGCTTTGATTATTTACGACAAGATAATGCATAAAGGAGTGTGTCAAAATTGGTTGGCAGACTTACTAGGAAATTTTCGGAACCACAACTGCTTGTTGATCACTGAAATGTTGGTGAATTGTATGAACATTTTTCAAGTAAAAAGTGTATATAAAGACAATATTTATAAAAATAAGTGCACCGTTGTGATGTTTCATCGTTTTTAGGCGGTATATAGATTGTCTGCTTGTTTACAATTTTCCCACTTCGTGCAGATAAGCGCCAAGCAGTTTAGTCTAAAATAATACAAATTATCTAATTGAATCGTGATATTCTTTGATTCCAACTTACGCCTTCAAGGTAGTTGTAGACATCGATTTTTTATTTTGAGAGTGGGCGCCGTCGTCACATGCTCCCACTGGCACAAGGGCACTAATGGCATATTTAATTAAAATTAAATATTTTTTGACCGTACCACAAATTTTTCAACCAAATATTTTTTGAAGCAACATATTTTGTTTTTTTAACGGACGATAAATGTATAGTCACATACAAAAACTGCTGTCTTAGTAGGAAAAGAGGTTACAAAATTAAACATTCCGATGGCGGAACGATGGTTAGGTTAGGTTAGGTAGGAGTGGTTGGAGATTAGATCCTAATCCCCACACTTAGGCCCCATTGGGCCCCTTGTGATACCACATGATCTCTGATTAGATCCTTTTCCCTAGCTCATGGGTTATTTGCTTTCGCGAAGTATTTTGTTCTTCTTAGGAAACATAAGAGTTTTATGATGCTTACGCCCTGAATGGCCGCAAGGTTCGGAAGTGTGTAGCTACCTAGGGTTTGAAAGCGTTTTAGGTTATGCGCTGGGCAAAAGCATAGGAGGTGTTCGATGCTCTCCTCTTCGTCTATCTGTTTGTCAAAATACTGAGTCCCAGCCTGAGCGCATGAGTCCCTATAAGGCAGTGGCCCGTGAGGGCATTTAGGAGAGTGGAGATGTCCTCCCTGCTACATTGTAGGGGAGCTTTTGTTCTTTTCGAGTTGTAGTTTGGCCATGTGAGTCTAGAGATTGAGATTGAGATTGAGTTCCAACGGTTGTTGGAAAGTGTGTACAGTCTCTGCCAGAGATGGAGCTTGCAGGTATCCATGGGCATACCCACCGTGTCCTTATCGCGAAGGATGTCGGCGGTTGTCCCCTGTCTTGCTAGCTCTTCTGCTATGCAGTTGCCCTCAATATTGCGGTGTCCAGGCACCCAGATGAGGTTGATTCTCAGATAAGTTGCCATCGCATTCAGAGATTGTTTTTGAGTTCGTTGTGTAGGAGTCGAGGGCAGTGAGGGCTGCTTGACTATCCGAGAAGATGGAAATAACTACGTCTTGATGTACAGACGTGTTCAGGTGGGTAGTGGCTTCCTGAATTGCCATCACTTCCGCTTGGAAAACACTACAGTGGTCTGGTAGGCGGAATGAAACTTCGCGGAGCCTCAGCGCTGTTGCAGATGCCCAGCTTTTGGCAAGTTGGTCCAGGGGTTGGAGGTCGAGAATTGTGTTTAATGCTTTAGTGGCGGCGGTGCGAAGCGCCCCACTGATGCAGAGTTCAGCGCTTCTTTGGAGCTTGTGAAGGATCCGGAGGTTTCAATTCTTTTTTAGGGAAGGCCACCATACAATGTTTCCATAGAGGAAAATGGGCCTGACTGTTGCAGTGTATAGCCAGTGAACTATCATGGGGGAGAAACCCCACTTCGTTCCTATGGCGTAGGCTGCCACTTTCTTCTGCCTCTTCTAGAAGTGATAGCAGTTTGTTGACCACTAAAGTCCATAGAAGAGGTGAGAGTACGCCCCCTTGTGGGGTTCCTCTGCTGACATTCCTGGTCGAGTGGGCTGATCTCATAGTGGAGTACACTACTCTGCTGGTTAGCATGGTGTGTATGAGTCCCACTATGGGCAGCTCAATGCCCAGTTCAGTCAGAGCACCAGTAATAGCCGTTGGGGTGACGTTGTTAAAGGCACCTTCTATGTCTAGAAACGCTGCCAGAGATTATTCCTTATTTTGGAAACCTATCTCTATACTGGGCACTAGAGAGTGGAGGGCGGTATCTGTTGATCTGCCTTTACGGTACGCGTGCTGTGCGTCAGAGACAAGGCTTTGGTCGATGGTTAGCCTGATATGGGTGTCAACTAGCCTGTTGAAGACCCAACAAGAAGGAAGAGGGACTAATCGGGCGGAAGTCCTTTGGGTTGGTGTGTGAGGGTTTGCCGGCTTTCGGTATAAAAATTACCCTAACGTCCAGCCACCTTGTTGGAATATGGTTTAGAGCAAGGCAGCGCTGTTACGTGTATAAATCTTTCGTCGCTTTTTTATTCGCTTATGTGAATGCACTGCAGGTCAGAATGGAGAGAAGGGTAACGCAAAGAGCGAGAAGCCACCATCCGCGTCCCTACCATTGTTTTTCATAATTTAAAGCTTACATTAACATAATCGGAATTAGCTTACTAAAACTGGTATTGCATTTATTGGAGAAAAAGGGGTGGAGACAAAAAGGACAAGTTGCTAAAATTGTTAACTATTCAATAGAATAATTTTGCCGCTCTGTTCTCTCTTAGCGCCGGCAGCGCTCTTCGCTTTGCATCACAAGTCGGCCTGCCACTAAACAATGGCTCTGACGTCAAAGATGTTCTTTTTGGGTGGTTTGTGGGCGTTAGAGTGGGCTTCGAAAACTTGTTTCACTACTCGACTGAAAAAGGCAAAAACCAAGATGACCGCCGATACCGTAATTAGTATACCCCCTCACTAAAAAAAAAAATTGGTATCATTAAAAAGCATTTTTCAAGCCCTTTCCAATGGTATAATTTTCTCTGCTCTAAAACAAAAATTGCACATTTTGAACAAAACTCACAAAATTAAAATTTCACACCTTCGCGCACAAGCAGTCATGAGAAAGGACTCGAGGGTAAGAGGTGAGATTCGGGTTCGTGGGTACGTGGGCACGTTCACTTTCTCCTGCTCATTCTCAGAAGATAACGAGGGGTCACAATATTTGAAATGCAATAAAACGGGAGGATTCCGTGGAATACCAAACACACTGATTATGGGATGAGTATACGCTTGCAATTTAAAACAACTCATACAAAATACATTTAAAACCGCCTAAAAAACCTCCGCAAGCGCTTTTAATAGCTACTCTTAGCTTAAGGCTTAGGAAATTCGAATGGTTGCATCGCGACATCTTATGCCAATGCTGGCCCGACCTTATTCATATCTTGCTTACACAGAAATTGCCTTTCCTTAACCTATGTCAAAGTTGTTCACCTTCGATATTTACCTATTCCTAACCCCTCCTACACCACGTTCACCCCCGATAACTTGTTATCAATCCTTGTGTTCGTTTTGCTTCTAATAACCATTCTACTGGGGTATTGGGCTGCTCTTTATATTCGAGAACCAATCGGATTGGTTCTAGGAGTACAACATGCCTGTATGCACTCCCTGTAGATGACAACCTGTTAAGTGAACATTCTAGACTATAAAAATGACACCACTCTAATTGCTCAGGATCAGTTCTTCAAATGCCTCAGTACTGCATACCTATGGATCTAACCGTAGAATTTATCGATTCGGAAAACGAGGTTGAGATTGACAACCTTGAATTACCACCCACGCAAGATTCTGATGTTGATATAATTGAAAACTCGGATCTGGACCTTGTGCAAATTTCCGAAGCAGAAGATTCGGTTGATCGCCTCCTACAAAGCGTATTTCAACCGGCTGCATCGTCGACCCAAAATAGGGACCCAGGATTGGAGTCTCTTGAGTGGAGCCAGTTTCCATTAGGGACTACTACGCAGGCTTTTTTGGAATCCCTTATCACACACGATGAAAGCGAAGATGTATATAAGTGTGCACTGGAATTTCAATTGGACGACAACCTATCCAGGACAGAAGATGAGGTTTTTCCTAACGACGACCACATCTTTGAAGAACTTATGGGACCTCAACCGCCACCGACTACCCATTATTTAACTTTGCTGGATGATGGAGATGACGACGCATTACTAGATGTTTTATTTGATCTAGATTCTTAACTTTTTAATTATAAAATAAAGAAAAATAAAGATACATAAAGAAAAATAAAGTAAAAACTATTTTAAAATTGTGAGCTTATAATTGTTTTTTATTTATTGGACCACTTTTCTCTGCCTTACAAATACTTTTTAGCTCTGCGTTGTGAACCAACAGACGATGCATATTAAAGTCGTCTCGCAACCAAATTTTCCGTACTTTAAGCCTAGTACTTAGATCGGCTTAGAGTTTCACTAGTCGAAAAATCTTATTCTTTGTAGTGTGACCGAAGTTTTCAAAGTTCACCCGCCATGCATGTAGCATGAACTTACTGTCAAGCAGCTGAGCTTGTTGTCAAACGGAAAACAAATCAATTGGAATTTCAATTTCAATTTAAAAAAGTAGAGTCTGCTAGTGCACAAAGGAATTAAAATAAAAATAAATTTAATTTTCAAAGAATGTTTTTATTTATGTAAATTAGAAGGTTAAGGCTTCCTTTTCGTCCCACGGATGCTTCGCCATCTTTCCCGCGCCATCTGTAGTCCAGCTCCGAGCTGGCCAATAATGGCTGGTGATGGCTCTTCCAGCTGTCCCTTCGCGGGCAACATTATTTTCTCCTCCCTATAAAAGCCGGCGCGACCTCCATCTCCGCCTTAGCTGTCAAGTAGCTGGTGGAGGTGGAGTCCTCAATGGAGAGCTCGTCGGAGATCGAGCGATGTCCCATGTTCCTTCCCACTGGCATTCTCTAGTGGTTCTCCTCCAGCACTTCAACTATTCTGCGGATCTACCCCATTGTGGTATTGCTTCCTGTCGGTCAAGTCCCACAATAATGGGCAACAGCTTGTATTAGGCGTCTTGTTTCATTTGCACTGACCCCCTTTAGTCATTTTGGGTGTTTTTCTTCCATTTTTTATTTTTAAATTCCCCACCACCTCTGCACGAACACCGCCAAAGATTAAATTTCTTATTCTTTGGGCCGCGGCTAACGGCGTTTATCGAAAATTCACTCGCGAAGTCTGGTATTTTTTCTGGTTTTTCTTAGCTCATCTGAGTACCGCGGTGAAAAACAGACTCGACGAAAACCTTTAGCCGCCTGTTTGCCTCTCGCTCACTCCTATGGTTAGCTCGGGGTTTTCGTCGATGTGAGTACTAGGCTTTAGGACAGAAATAACAATAATAAAAGGAAGATTTAGATTTCTGATAGTCGAAGTTGTGTATCTTTAAGGTATGCGCTTTTAGGCCGCTGCGCTCCACATGAATTGATAGAAATATATAGTTTTTGACAAGTATAAAAGACCATGTAATTTCGGGTTAAAGAATTAGTGTACAACAGTTAGGTATTAGTGCACAACGAATCCAATCTTACGCTG